CTGCCTTGGTAGAGTGCACCTACCCCGAAGCTCTAAAGTTCTTTGCGGGGAATTCGCCCCTCACTGATATAAGTTTCCTGACGAATGTATTCGCCAGGTTAGTAGTTTCGCCAACTGGATGTTCTTTCTTGACTGAACTAGCCCTCAAAGCCACTATTTGTCGATTGAAACTAGCTGGATAAACATCATGATGGCTAAGGTGTCCAATATCAACTCCACCCTTCTCCTGGACAAGCTCCTAATTCATGGATCTGGGGACAGAAGCACACTGGTAATAAGATATCAGGAACATCCGTCCATGTTCTGTAGAAAGAGGAGGTGACAATTGATGTTCTGCAGCCACTTGTAGTGTTCGTCATACATCCATGCAACATCCATGTTGACAGAATCTCCAAATAAGAACGCATGCTCCTTTAAAACTTTGTGTTCTGCTGTCTCAAGTTTTGCGTCTGTGACAAGGGCTCTGAGGGTCCTGGGAAAAGCTTGAGTGATAATTTTTGCTCTCTCCTTGCTCTGATCTTTAAATACCGGAAGTTCCAAGCGAGAGCTGAAGAGTATATTTCTATCCGCGCCACCTTCATGACCAAAGTGGTGATGGAATGAAAGAGGTTCGTTGGAATAGCGCGCTACATATAAAGAGATAATAGTCAGTGTTTTAAATAGCCCAAAAGCCAAAAAGTCTAAAAGACTTGAATGAAAACGCAATGGTCAATCCTGTGTTCCAAATTCAAAACGCAAGGGTCAAACCTGCGTTCCAACTTCAAAACACAAGGGTCAGACTTGCGTTCCAAGTTCAAAACACAAGGGTCAGCTCTGCGTTCCAAATTTAAAACACAAGGATTAGCCATGCGTTCCGAGTTCAAAACGCAAGGGCCAACCCTACGTTCCAAGTCCAAAACGCAAGGCTCAGTCCCGCGTTTCAAGACGCAAGGATCAGCCCTGTGTTTACAGTTCAGAACTGGTCGAAGCAAGTTTAATGGTTCAAACCACTGATGATTGGATAACATCGTTTGGCAAGCGCGCTACGGCCGGAGCATCGACCGAACCCCCATGCAAGCCAGCGAGCAGCCATGCGCAACTGAGGCCACGCATGCCTCAAACCCGACGCAATGGCTTTCTGGCCCGTTTCCCAGTGGTTTTCTTGGGGAGCCATGTGGGATTGTAGGCATATAAAATTCTTATAGGTCCCATCTAGCTCAGCTCCGGCGGCAAACCGACAAACCAACGACCGGCGGCCAACGCAGATTGACTAATCCGCACGCAAGCAAACAGAATACGTCATTCTGCGCTGCGGATCAAGCAAGTGTTCGCAAGAGTCAACACGCAGTCATCAACCAAGCGGCATAACTCGGTACGAAATCACGATCAATCAAGATCGCCGCTTTGGACTCGAACTCAAAAGTGGATTTACTGCCTAATCCGCTGCATCCGGATTTCACTCCCAAACTCAGCTCGTCAACGACATCAAGTCTGGATAAATCAAACCACAGAACGATCACAGCACATCATAGAACAAGAGATGGCAAAAGACGACACAAAGCAGCCTGAGCGGCAGAGTAGAGTGCCTCACCGAAGCCACCAACGCGAGGCCTACATCAAGTGACCGAGCCCACCAAGTGGTGGCTCGGCCGAGAGCACCTAGGTGGCCCAGGTAGCCGCAGCCAACCTTCGGTGCTCACCGAGCCACCTTGTGCGTGGCCTCGCGCTGCACCAAGGTAGGCTCGGCCACCTACCGACCACAGTGGTGACTCGGTGCGCCGAGCCGACCTATAGGTGGCCCGCCGCCACCACCGACGCCACCACCATGGGCTCCGGGTGGACCGAGGCCACCTATGAGGTGGGCCCTCGGGCGGCCACGCTGTGCCGTCGACACCACGAGCACCAAGACGGTGGCTCGGTGGCCGACAACGCACCAAGTGGCCTCGGTGGCCGAGCCACCTATGTGCTCCTCCCGGTGGCCGCGAGTCCCGCCGCAGCCGACTTGTGGCCGGCCACCCTGTCGCCCAAGGCACACGTGAAGCCTATAAATAGCGCCCACCCCCTTGTTCATTTGAGAAGTTGGAAATTTGCGAGGCGAAGCTCTGTCGCCGATCAAAGACTCGAAACTATAGAAAAGATTGGAGCTTGGGACTTCGGACTCACTCTTTCCAGATCTGCGTGCTTTCAACGCGCATCATCACGTCACGCCAAAAAAGGTACGCGCTGTGCTTCCGAGGCAGGACCGATCTCAGCATCTACGCAGAGTACTTCTGGATCTAAGCTTGTCTTAGATCCCGAGAACTGGACGATTGTTTCCTTGCGGGAATCAATCCTCCCCGCGCCTATATTATCCTTTTGTGAGAATAATACCCGTCGTACTGCTGTAGATCTTGACCGCCGATCTAGCATCTCGCCGGTGGCCACGCGCAAACAACCCCGCGCACAGGCAAAGAACCCACACCAAAGCAAGACGACCGCCCAAAACAGGCATCCTTGCGATTCGTTTCGACAAATAAGGTAGAAAGGTTGTAATTTTCTTTAAATTTCTTGTGCTTATTGATTTTCGTTGTACCGGATCTAAAAAAGCCGGCATCTTTCTAATCGATAAACTATTACAAGAATTTGCAATGGAATCAATGATGAAGAAAACAACGATTTTCACCGCGAACATGGATGATTTGTTGTTGGAGAAGATGAACAATGCTTGCCGGGTTTTAAAACGAAAAATTTTCATTGAAGAAGCTTGAGTAGAAAGTAGGAGAGTCAGATGACTCTTGATTTGACCCTGGCAATCCATTTATAGATAGCTGGAGCTGTCAAATCGGAATGGGATTTGAGGCAAATATCCCGACCAAACGTGATTTCCGCGTTCACACTGAGTCGGTTTGACTCCTAAAACGCAAGGCTCACCTCTGCGTATCAGTTTTTAAAATGCAAGACTCAGCTCTGCATTCCAAACTCTAATCGCAAGATTCACCCCTGCGTTTCAAGTCCTAATTGTACAGTTCACCTCCACATTTCAAATTTTAAATGCAAGGTTCACCTCTACGTTTCAAGACCTAAACGTGCGGCTCACCTTCACGTTTCAAAATTCTAAAGCTCTACAACTGGTGTTTCTATGGTGGCCTCGCAGTCCTTGGCTCTCTCTTACCCAACTCTTGCAGTTGCGCCTCATATGTTCATCAATGTCTATAAGAATGTTCTTGCTGTTGTTGTTGACGCCAAACACACCTTCCCATAGGCTGAGAGAGTGAAGGAGCATCTCAAGGATCCAAGCAAGTTTGTTGCTGCTCCTACTACCAAGGAAGAGGATAAGGACGAGCCTGTTGATGAGTCTGACAATGATTTATGTGTTACCTATGAGAGGCCAGGTTTCAGTACTAAAAATATTAGCAATGGCCATTAAGGTGATGAAACCCAAGAAGAAACTGACATACGACAAGAAGCTATATAGCCTCTTGGATGAGTACGGACCAATTCTAATCATTAATACCGATCAGGAAGAAATTCCAAAAGAATTCAACGATCCTTACGAGGAAGAACACCCCCTTCAGGTATCACATCAAGTCTCATGCTGAGAGCACAAGCAACAAGAATTACCTTAACTTCCTCCAATCGCTCGTCAGAAATGTTGGGTTGATCGTTACCAAGGAAGATCTAAAGGAAGTTAACGAGAAAGTCGCTAAAAACAAGGTTAAAGCACCTGCTAGTATTGGGCTTGTGGCTCTCACTGATGTCGTCGTCTCTTATATTGTAAATGCGAGACTCATCTCCGTGTTTCAAAGCAACAAGGCCTATTTCCGCACTTCAGAAACAGGGCCACGATAATCGCCTTCATACTAATCCTGCAATCAAATTCACAATGCCTCCAAGACAAATACGGGGAACAAACTCCTTTATAATGAGGAATCATCAATTCCAAGATTAATCAAAATTAGGATCCAAAGTATTCCAAAAATTCATTCCAGTCAACCGCGAACTTTTAAAAACTTAGGAGGGGGTTCTGTAGGCTGTATAAAAATTACTGCAGATGGTTAATCCCTACCAAGCACTGATAACGGAAGTAACAATTCGACGACTTCCAGAAGGTTATAATTTAGAGACTTTTACGATAATCAACGAATGTTACAATTCAATGACATTCACAACAACCGAAGGAAGTTTTGATTCGACGGCCTTCACAATGATCAACAAGAGTTACAACTGATGGCTCTCACATTCCAACGATTCGAGATGAAGATCACAATTTTTACAACACTCTAACTAAAGAGACTACAAGTCAATGGTCTCTTCAACTCAAAACGCAGAACTCACCTCTGCATTCCAAACTCAAAACGCAGAGCTCACTTCTACATTTCAAGCATCAAAACGCAGGGCTCACTACTGTGTTTTCGGCCTCAAATACAGAGTCCAACTCTGCATCCCAAGTACAGGACGTAGAGTTCGTGCCCAGAACACAAATTTTACGTTTGACTCGTTCAAACACGAGTTAAACGGTTCCAGAAACCATTTCCCATGATTTGAGGGGGATTACACCCCACTTAGGAGCGATTTTTTAGGGGTTAGTTACACCCATTAATCCCCTATAAATAGCTAAAAGATCAGCTTAAATGGGGATCTTCGGATCTTGGATATCTTTGGCCGGATCGGGATTTTTTGAGATCTTTGGGCAGATCATGTTTGAAGATCAGAATCTTTGGCTCAGAGGCTTCGGATCTTGGGGAGTTTGAAGTTGTTCTTGGAGCCTTGCCTTAGCTTGTGAACTGAGTTTCGGTTAAATCATAAAGGATTAATTTCATTTCTCAAATTAACTCTTCACTGAGTTCTCAAACTCGTTTAGATTTCCTAAACTCGTTAAGAGTTCCAAACTTGCATTGCAAGTTCTTCCCATCAAGAGGAATCAACCAAGTTCCACGAAACGAAGCGTTCGGATCGTCAACGGGATACAAGAATCAAGTTCCCATCTACACCAAGAAGAACCTAGTTTTAAACAAAATGAATGATCTCCGTCGATTCCTTCCTTCTTTTGTAAATCGGAAAACCGATACGAGAATAATAGTAATTTCTTTTTCTAAATCAGTTAGAGAGAGATTACATCGAGAGATTGTATTCATTCTTTTCCTAAGTTAGTTAGGGAGATTAATATAGAATTTTATTCTCATTTCTTCTTCAATTTTCCCACGAACAAGCACATTGAGCTTTGTGGATGTATTAGGTTCGTATTCTCAAGGATACATTCTTCCTCCTTTGCTGCTCCACCATTTCTGCTAATTACCAAATTTATGAAGAAAATTCAATGTATGATATTTTGAAGCATGTCGTTATCTGATGAGTGCATTCAGAAGCAGAAACGTTTGCTAGTAACTTTTTTTGTTGACCTTAGCTGTTTGGCTTTCTCCTGTGTCTTTAATTCTTTAATTCTTTTCCTTTCTTCTGAAGTTGCTCTTGCTCCACTAGAGATCTTGTCAACCCGTGATATCTCATTACGATATTCTTGCAAGTATATTGCCCGTCTCTGTTCGAGTTCCTTCTGCAAAGTGTTGTCAGATAAGATATCAAGGTCATTATCATTATTCATGACTTCCTCATCAAATGGGATATGCTAGAAAGTACGACGCAAAGGCAAGCACGCTCCACATATGACATAAACATCTTAGTTATGAGTGGCTATTTATGTCACTGTTATGTAAAAGGAGTGCTAATGTGTATTAGTCTGAGTGATGAAAAGCTACTGATGTGTAATTAGTGCACCTTAATGAGTTTCTTCTCACACTTTATGTCTGCGACATTAAAAACTGAAGACAAATTCTGTTTTTCTTTTTCATTTTAACTACTCTATTTATGTCCATGCCCTTTCAGATTAGGACCTCCTTTTGATATCTGACGTCCTGAAATTTCAAGCGTGTGATGCTTTGTGTTGTGGATCATGAAAGTAATATAAAACCAAAGAAATTAAAGGAAAAGAAACATCAGAAGATTAATCAAGTATTATAAAAAAGTTTAGACCTCTTTTCTCACTAGTCTGCGTTTGGCTTTGACCTTCTTGTCGGTTTCCCATTGTAGAATTTTTGAGTTTATTTTGTTGTACCTGCAAACTTGGACGTTAGTATCAGGGGCAGTCACTTAATAAAATGGTGCTGTTATATAATCATTCAATCTTGGAGGTTGTGTACCATTTTCTTATTTTATCTATCTGTTCTTTCTCCCACACATCTGCTTTTGTTCCTTCTTTCATTGATTTCATATATCTGGGGTACCATATTGGTTCAGGTTGCTCTGCTTCCATATCTTGTCTTTCTTCGAAGCTTTTGTTCTCCTTATCATTTAAATACTTATCTGAAAAAGTTGGTGTCTTCTTAATCGTAGGGGGTTTTCCGGTGGGCTTCTCTGGCTTCTTTATGTTAGTGATTGAGTCTTCAAACATCATTTGGTCTAATGATTTTGACTTCCTTATAGTCTTCTTTCCTGAAAATTGCATGGGTGTTTACGAAGAAATTAAAGAATAATTGACAGCTGTTTCCCCAAAAAAAGGAAAGGATGATGCAAGTTTTGGTGGGTGGTACCGCTTGCCTTTCCCGCGTCATGAGTAGTGCCCGTAGCGTCTTCCAGCATCTTTTGGTCAAATGTTGCAGACTTTCTCATAGATCTCTCATCTGGAATGATTAGACTTATCACAGGTTAGGAAAGAGATTACAGAGATCTTTGGATTTTTTTCCCATGCTGGAATAGTAACAATAATTTTCTCTTGAACATCCAATACAAATTATGTAATAATATTGTAATGTTAATAAATTTAATTATTACACATATAATTTGGGTATTATTTATTTAATTATTATATATCATTAGAAGTTATTTTGTTAGATCATGTACTGTGATGGTCACTTGCTTGGAGATATGATCTAACTTAGAAACTTTCTTAAATTTGTGCTTAACCTTTAACTAGTAGTGGATAACTTTGTTATAACAGGTTATTATGCATGAACCAATATATATGATGTGGTAGTGAGTTTCAACCACTGGGAATGTGAATTCTCCGAGTGTATGCATAAGCACACATTATGATGTGTGTAGCACTAGACCGTATTTGAATTCTCTAGGACGAGTCACTTAAGAAATAGAGAATTCAAATTGATACATAGTCTATTTGACTTGATGATATTGTTATTTTCAATTTGATAATTTAGTATGCTTTGATGTGATGGTTAAGCTTGTTTAGCAAGCGCTACACAACCTAAAACGTTGGGTTGCTAAATTTCATTTAGGAAAATGATGGATGTCTAGATAGGATCCAGTATGCTCATTATGATGAGTTAATTTATTATATATTCTCATGAAACTATTAAATTCTTGCCGGCAGGTGGTTTTGAAAATATTTTTTAAATTTACTTTCTTATAAAAATAAAATATTTTGATGTTTTAAAATGATTTTTATTTATGTTCATGGGAGGTGTAACTTAGGCATGAGCAAATAGGTGTGTTGTCTTTTTTAAAAGAGTTAACTAAAATAAATGATATTGGAGGGGACTAAATGTAAGATATTATTTATTAATAATTAATCTCATATTATGAAAGAGCTTTTATGAACAGTTGGCCGGATAGGTATTTGATTGTTAAATTAAAATTATTAATTTGATTAATAATTGGTTCTCGATATGGGATCCAATTGGTCTCACTAATGTCATTAGAAGAGGTATACATACAATACAATTCTATTTCTATCCTTAATTGTTATGGATAAAATTTTTGAACAAATTCTATTTCTATCCTTAATTGTTATCGATAAAGTTTTTGAACAAATCTATTACTATCTTTAATTGTTATGGATAAAGTTTTTGAAGAAATCTATTTTATCTTTAATTGTTATGGATAGAGTTTTGAATAATTATGAATTGTTTAAAATTAAAATATCTAAGACTAGTCTAATCCTATAAATAGAGTTAATATGTAGTCTTATGAAGAGACATAAAATTTTATGAAGATAATATGAAGAAATAGAAATTTGAGAACTTATCTCTCAGTATTGCTCCTCTTCGATGACGGATGGATTTCAATTGGAGGTTTTTTATCTTGAGGAAGTTTTTTCAGATTGATCTCGGATCAGATTATTGTAGAAATTCGGAAAGCGTTTCAGGTATAATTCTAGATTTTAATTAATTTTGATTAATAATCATGATATGTTTTTTCCGCTGTGTTATATGTCAGGAATCCAACACTCTGAACAGGAGGATAGTGGAAATTTGTTGTTCTCTGACTGCAGTATGGTATTTTAATCTACTAGGTTTACATAGTGTCATGGGAGCGGTGGTTGAAAAGAGAGGAAGAGGTTTCTACTGGAGTTCCTAGGGATTGCTTGGTCGTTCTCCTGTGACAGGGTACAGTTAACCCATTTAAGATCCAAGTAGAGATATGATCCCCTTAGTGCTAGACCACTCCTCTTTAATACTTTTGTTCTCAGGATTTGGCCAAAACCAGCTCATCATTTTTCTTGGAATAATAAGCGTTTGGCCAAAATCCAGTCCTATGACTTTTTAACTCTTTCGACTTCAAGGCATTTCATTACTGTAATTAGTTGGTTGAAGAGTTTTGGATCTAACACAGCTAAACCATTATATATGATCCAATCAAAAGGGGGATTTTTTCATGTGACTCGTTAGTACCACTACCACTGTTTTTTTCTGTTGTAGCTGTGATTTGATGGTCGTATTGTTCTTTATAAGTGCCAAGCATTTTTGTTCCAAGCTATCCTACTTTCACATAAAGATGCTACGCCAAATCTGGATTCAGGAGGAATTGTGAGTTTTATTTTATTTTTCAAATGGTTAGAAAGCCAAGGAATTGTCTTACCAATAGGCATTTAAGTCGTTTACCAAAAGAAGTATGCAGCTATATTCAATTGAGGATTATTATTTGGATTATAAAAGGTATCTATTCTGTTATTAAATTAATTTCCTCTTCTAGTGATTTCTGAATAATAACAAGTAAGATCATACTTCACTTGTTGGACTTCCATCTCCTTTTGTCTCCTTACCACTTAGCCATCTGGATATTGTACTAGGATCGGCTGGCTTGGTCATAGTGTCAGTATAAGTAGGCTTGATCATACTGCTGTTATCAGTTGGCTTGTTCATGATATCTTCTTCCTTTTTGCTTTTGGTCTTGGTCATGTCTCTTCCCAACTTTTTCCGGGGTTCATTGTGGTTTGGTGAACCTTCTTCCATGTAAGCAATGGCATATGCAGCTGCTGCAATCGCGGCTTCAATATCACCATCGCTCCAAGGGTCTGAGACACTCATTTGGCCAGTGAGCCATCTCTGGAATCTTTTTCCAGTCTTCTCTCTCTCTGCACAATCAAATTTGTTGATTCCTATTTTCATATATAATTTCATGTCCAGTATTCAATTGCCATAAGAAAATTTAAACTGGAAGTTATTGCACCTAACTTTTGTTTTCTTTTTCTGCTTCAATTTTTATTACCATAAATCTTAGTAGATTTGATCCCAATTTATCAGTGTAAACATCAGTTGGGCTTTCTAGTATGATATTTTTCTCTTTTAACTATAATTAAGGAGCCTAGATGTTGAGGCTTATTTTATAATTCCATTGGATAAATAAGGTTTTCTGTTGCAAATTTATTCATATTCACCAAATTACGTCAATTTATGTTCTTTTGAGGAGTATATTTTAACAATAACATGAATTATTTTCTTGTTTTGCCTCATAGTGCTATTCTTATGTATCTTTTAGTACTAAATTGCAACTTAATGGATAGACAAGATTCAGAACTCCTAACATTTAAGGTTTGTACACCTCGAACTTTGTTTAGTAGTTCCTCCTATTTAGGATAAAACTAGAGATTATCGATTGAGATGGTTTGGCCATGTGGAAAGTATGTCACTAGAAGCGCCAATTAGAAGAAACGATATGATTATGATTGATGGAGCAATAAGAACTAGAGAAAGAATTAAGAGAACTTGTTGGAAAGCAACTAATGAGGTTATGTGATAGTTATCTTGATGGAGGAGACGGTCCTAAGCGCAACTAACTGGAAGAATGCATGTTTCTGGCTCTAAAAATTTTCAATATAAGCTATCTTCTTGTTGTTTGTGTCCGGGTGGCCAGACATCTAGTCTGCCTCGAACCTTAAAAGTTGCATCAATTCCTTTTAATAATTAAAATTTGGGAGAAACTGCGATTTCTTGGTCTGTGTTATACTTGTATATTCACGAAAGGACTTATAATTATACTGAATGACATCTGGCTACGTTTAAAACTGTCATAAAGGCTTTACGCGGGTACAGGAGGTAATCGTACTGTATCCTTGTTTAAGGAAGGTCACAAGTCAATTGGTAATGGAATGGATAACAATTTATGATTAAAAACCTTAGATGCAACTTGTGAGAAGGAAAAAAGTTAAATCAGATATTATTGAGGTACTCGAACCAAAATAAAACAGTGTTTAATATTTTTGAGTACCTCCCTTGAAGGAAATTGTCGTCTGCGCTGATAGCCTTCTGTTTGCGCTATATTGATTATCTTGGCTTTCCTCTCCTAGAATAGGAAATCTTACCCTGATAAAACAGTTATTGCGGTTCGTGAGGAGCTGAGTTTTGCTCAAACAAGAACAAGTAATTAGAAACTATACTTATCTCTTGTAAAATTTACCTTTGTCGCATATTATCCCCCAGATAGTTATTTTTAACACTTAACCCCACACCCAGATTGGGTGAGAACTGAGAACTAATTATGTTAGTCATAGAGATAAAAAGACACTGTTACCCATATACATTGCATATAATTGCAAATTATAAAAGTAATAAACATAAAATGTAAATTATATTTTAGACTTTTAGTCAATTAAAATATGTGTGGAATTATTTTCTTTGACAGTGTAGTATGCTAATGCATCTATCATTACTTTATTTTTTTCCTACCCATAATTCGGATCCTAAACCTAAAATCAATTTGAAAAATAAAATCCTATTTTGAAGTTGAAGTTCGTAATCCACACTTTTGAACCAATAGTATTTTAAAGTGTGTTAAATTAATTAATTATTGAAACAAGAAGGTTAATTAACATGTTTCTTATTTATTGGCATAAGATTCAATTACATACTATCAATAGGAATTAGGTTTCCAGTTTAGATAATAAGTGGGTAAATTATGCTAAACCCCAAGAACTTTCAGCATTTTACAGTAAACCCCCCAAAAACATCTAAATCTAAAATCCCCAATAACTACTAGCTGGAATTGCAGAAAACCCATAATATGTTTTTGGATTTCACAAATAAAATATGTCGCCAACGTAAAATATGGGCGTACGTCATCATGGAGGTTATCTAGAAAATGCGAAAACTTATTAAAGATTTTATGCAGTTCCAAAAGTTATTGGGGTTTAGAGCAATTTTAGAAGTTTCTGCTGGTTTCCTACAAAACGCTGAAAGTTATCGGGGTTTTAGTGTAATTTACCCAGTTAGAAATACAAACAGAAAAATATTGGGCTTTGGTTTGGGCCTAGGAAGGCCTGGGACGCTTGATTATTATATTTCTATTTTAAAGTTATTCTTTAATTTCTAATGAACTTTTTCTTATGCTTATCTAAATTATAAATTCAAAATAATAGGGTACTTTCTGTGACTAGCGAATGAGTACTTTCAGATGGCAGGAGATTAAATGCTAACATGGCATATAACTTTGGGAGTCAAAAGTGGTGAACATAAACTAGAGGGGGAATATGTGCAGTTAAGGTAAACATTTTATTTTCACCAGAAACAAAAAGGAAGAATTGTGCAAAGTTTTCGCTCCTTTATAATTTAACTAAAAAGAAAGTTGTAATGACAGTCCTTGGTGTATTTATTGGTAAAATTTCTGTTTCTGAATAAGATATAGAATTGCCAATTTTGCCTTTTGGTTTGGCATGCAAGTTGCAGAGGAAATGCAAAGTTACTCCAATCGCTTGAGTTTAATTCTTTTCGTATGCATTTGGCCATTGGTTTAGGAGCTTTTTGATTTATACCAATCATCAACTGCATCTTATATCCAAGCTTGTAAATTTAAAGTAAACAGAAACAGAGCAACTGAATTCTCATTTGTTGAACGTTGTTTCTTAATGTTTTTCCTGTCAATTAGATTTTTCATAAATTCATGGTGTAGCATGAATAGAAAATAAATATGCATATTTGAAGTCAGAAAAATATGCACGAAACTGAGAAATTTTAATGTACAAATTTCATAGATTTACCTTGTTTGCTTTAACAGGTCCATTGTGCTGGTCTGCAGCTGAAGGTAGTTTTGGAGTTCGCTATAATTTTGTAGCTATAGTTTTTTCATTCGAGGATGAATGATATACCTTTGGAGACTAAAGCTTGGAAACAAAGCCATGTTTCTGGTATTATGTTTTCGTACAGCTGATCGAAGATGGTGAGATGATAACCTATTCTAGGCAAGCTGAGGACTTTGGTTTGGCTTGCAGGTTTCTTGTATTTTGTTTTAGCATCTCAAATTTGGTATGCAAAGAAAAGGATCCTTTTTAAGTTCTTGTTTTTGCATGGGCTAAAGTTATCTTAGCTTTGATGGTTTCTTTGGTTCAACACAGATACCGATTATGGTCACGATAAGAATCTCGTGCGTTAAACAATTCTTTCTTGGGTTCATTGCAGATAAACCTCCTGCATTGCCAACTCAGTTCTATTAGTAGATAGACCCCTCAAGGAGTTCTATTGTTGCAAGTAGACACCCTAATTGATGTTGGAAATTGTGGTTAAATCTGGAATAAAACAGAGAAATTATGATGTGTTGTAATTTTAAATTTTTTCAATCCATTGTTGTGCGTTTGAGAAACGATGTACTTAATGCAATATTTGGCCTACTCCGGTGCAATGATCCCAAGGCCAAACTGCTTTCGGGAACAGCAGCACAGTACTCTAGTGTGCACCAACCCAGTACTGTCAAAATCTCCTCGATCTATAAGACCTTTTAGTCAAAGCAAAGATCTCCTCGATCTCAGAACGTTTCGGTTCAAAACCTTTCGGTTTAAGAGCAAGTTCCTGTGGGCACAGTTTCTGCAGCAACAGCACAACATCAACAACAACGTCAAGATCTCATTGATCTGACGTTCGTTTTCAAAGCTCGCGTGTGTTTTTCAAGAGCTGCCCAAGGGCGTATTTGGCCAGCTCAAGAGTCACTTGTAATTAATGTGACTATTATAATTCTCAATGTCAATTAAGATTGTAACATCAATGCATTAAATTGCTCTAAATGCTGTTGTAACTGCTGCATGCACTAACTCCTGAATACGAGGCAATCAATGGACGTGTTGCTACGTAACGGGAAGGTCACGTCTCAGCAAATCAGATGAACCTCGTCTGACAAACGAACCTCGTCAAACAGGCGAACCTCGTCGAACGAGCGAACCTCGTCAAACTGGCGAACCTCGTTTGACGAGTGAACCTCGCCTGATCTTGTGAATCAGATGAACCTCATCGAACAAGTGGAACCTCATCAACCAATTAACGAACCTCGTCTGACTTCGAGAATGCTAGGGTCACTCCCTCGTACTAATGCGTAGCTCGTCGGCATGCTGCGAAGCAGCCTTTGTGGCAACCTTCGTGGCGCCAAACAGCGCCACCTCGCCTCGATGCCTCCGTGCGAAGTGTAAGTGCGCCCAACAAAGCGCCACTTAGCGCCTCAGCCCGATTAGGCCCGATCCCCGGCCTATTGGCCTACGGCCCCCAACCCACGATTCACTAGAACTTATGAGGGATTAATTCAAATAAAACACTTCTCGGCTTGTCGTTGGCAAGCCTCGAACAAAGGACCATTTGAAACACCAAATTATTAACTTTTCACTAGGCTACTAAGTATTTATTTGTAGTTAATATATATATAGTTTGAAAACTCATTTTGGAAAGCGATTTTGATCAAAAAATTCAATAATCCCTCACAAGTTTTTAAACTAGTGTCGTGCTTGTTCGCGGGAAAAATCGTTGCTTTCTTTGTGATTGATTCCATTGCAAATTCTTGTTAACAATTTATCGGTTACAAAGATCCGGTCTTTTTATAAGATCCGGTTATAATAAAAATCAAAAATAAAGAAAAAGATTACAACTTTCTCCTTTTGTGTCGAACAAATCACGAGCTCCTGTTTTGCGGTCGCTCGCTTGTGTGGGTTCTTTGCCTGCGCCGGGGTTTATCTGTGGACCACCGCGAAATCTAGATCCGATTAGATCTAAGCAGTACGACGGGTATTATTCCACGAAGGAAATAATAGCCGGGGAGGATTGATTCACCAAGAAAACAATCGTCCAAGTCTCGGGATCTAAGACCAAGCTTAGATCCGGAGTACGTCTGCGTAGATCTGAGATCCGGTCCTCTCGAACACCTGCCTTTTTTGGCGTTGACGATCGCTGAGCACCAGATCTGGAAGAGTGAATCCCCGAAGTCCCAAAGCTCCGATCTTTTTTAAGTTTCGAGTCTTGAATTCAGCAGAGCTTCGCCTCCAAAATTTCCAACCCTTGAAAATGAACAATGCCTCGCCTATTTATAGGCACTCGAACCTGTGCCCGTGCACACGTGTCAGAGGTCGGCCACCTCAAGGTGGCTGGCACTGGGCCGAGCCACCTCAAGGTGGCTCGGCTCATGCCGAGCCACCTTGGGGTGGCTCGCCATTGGCCGAACGCCACCTGGGGGGGCTCTAGGCCACGAGCACACTCAGGGTGGTCGGCTTGCGGCGATCACGAGCCACTTAAGGTTGGCTCTGCGGTTTTGGCGAGCCCTCCCGGCGTGTGTGACGGTTTGTCATTTTCCGCCTTTCGGTCTGACTCCGTGATTCGGTTGTGCCGGTTGATGATCGGTTGACCTGATTTGGCCTAGTAAATCTGGGTCCTGATTACGCAGTAAATCTCATTCTGATGTTCCTGAGTCCAAACCGATCTATGATATCGATCGTGGATTCGTTCGAGTATGCCCTTAGTCTGGATGACTCGTTGACTCTTCAACACTTGGCTTGATTCGAGCGAAGGATTGTTATCTCATTGCTTGCTTCTGCGATTCGTCGATCCGTCGTTCGCCTCGTTCGTTCGTCGGTTTGTGCGAGCTTGCTAAGCGGACTATAATTCAAGTTTATTATGCCCTACAGATCCCCCCTCAAGTATTTCAGCCTGTCTCTTTTTAGAAGGTCCGTGGAATAATTTGGGATATGATCATGTTCCCAACTTCAGTCGGTGTAACGGGACTTGGAATGCGACTTCCGTTCTTGATTCCTTCAATTCTCCAGGCTATTCGGTGCTTTGCGAATGTCTGAAAGAAGTTTCTAGGGAATGATGATTTATTGTCTGACTCGTTGTCGGAACTTTGAACTTTTGAAGTCGTTTCCTGATTGAGTCTGACCATCGATTGTTTGGCGGCTGTCGCCGACGCATGTCAGCCGTTGTGATTGTTGAGTTATCCTTTAAGAATATTTATGAAGAAATTCTCCTAGGAACTTCTCAACAAAAATAATTAGGAGAACAAGTTTATACTCTATACCTGTATTGGATATTTAAGAAGCAAGTTTATACTGTATATACTTTTCGGAGTATATGATTCTTTCATTGCAACGCATTGATTAGCGTTGACCTACCGCGGATTACCGTTGTCGACGTACCTTAGGGTTTTGAACGTCGTACCTGTTGACTTTTTTGATTGCAACGCGTGTTGACTGACGCGTTGACCTAGGGTTACCGCCGTTGTGCCGGCGTTAACCTAGGGTTTCGAATGTCGTTGGATGCTCAAGTCACGGAGACCAACTAATGAAGCTGATCGGTCAGTGCTCCCGTATTTATAGATTTTTGCGCAAAACTCAGCCATCAGGGCGTTTGAGAAGCTTTACCGAACTACCGTTATGGTCGGCGGTACATGCGATTATGTAAATTCGATTCCGCATGTGTACGTTTGTGCTAGGACCGTTAACGCTCTTAGTGCTCGATATTGAATACGTAGACTTCGTTCTTTCTCACGGGACATGAATACCCGGCAGCCAGTGTTAGGCGTTCGACTTTGGGATTTTTTGGCTAACCCCCAGCTTCAACCGATTTAATTATGCCTTTTACCGACTACTCGTTTTGAGTCGGGGTAGCATGCCGAATTGCTAATCGTTCCGCATGCTTGACGTTGTGCTAAAGCGAATGAAATCCTTAGGACTTGTATGTTACCGATTTCGAATACGTAGACTTTGCCATTGCTACGGGAATAGGCTACCCGGTAACGTGTATTAGACGCTGACTTATCCCTACTTAGGCTTCGGGATAAAAATACCCCAGACTGGTATTCTGGTGTCTTTTTCAATCGGTAAAAGACTAAACCGGCGACGCGTGTTAGGCGTCGGCATATCCTTTCTTAGGATTCAGGATGAAATTCCCCATGCGTGTAAGGCATGGATTTTGGTGTTATTAATAACAACCTGCCACAATGTTGAATATGTGGACGGATGTTCTTTTCAACGGTTAAGAACTAACCGGCAGCGCGGGTTAGGCACAGACTTATCCTTGCTTAGGTTTCAGGATAGAATACCCCAGAATCGAACTCTGGTGTCTTTTTGTACGGAAAAAGACTAAACCGGCAACGCGTGTTAGGCGTTGACTTATCCCTGCTTAGGATTCGGGATAAAATTCCCTGTACCTGTGAGGCACAGATTTTGGGATTTGAAAAAGGTGGTGTCTTCTCTTGGGGCAAAGACGAACCCGAAATGGGAGAGGAAGAATTTTATATTCTATCTCCCGACACTGAAGAAGAAGAATTTTATATTCTACCTTCAGCTGGAAAGGTGACTCGAGGTGGGATCTCCACCCCCAGAATCGAAAACTTCGGATGATCCTAACTGTCTGAAGGTTTGATTATCGAACTAAAGATGAATTTCTCGTTTATCGAGAGTAAATTGTGGTTTTGGTCCTAACTGTAGGAAGGTTTGACCCAGCAGGAGTTTGAGATGACCCTAACTGTAGGAAGGTTTGATCACTCGATTTGAAAGTGGACCTCTCGTTCATTGGAAGAATCGAGAGAGGATTTTGGTTTTGGTCCTAACTGTAGAAAGGTTTGACCGAATGGAAGGTTTAAGACGATCCTAACTGTAGGAAGGTTTGATCGCTCAATTTGTGGACCTCTCGTTCATTGGGGGAATCGAGAGGGGATTTTGACTGTGGTCCTAACTGTAAGAAGGTTTGACCAATTGGGACTTTACGTCCAGACTCTAACAGAGAGAGTGTTGAGTGCACAGACACGGTGAGAATTTGAATGGGAGTTCTCATTACATTGCTGTGGTTTTGGGAACTTCCCGTTACATAAATCGTCCACCACCAGTTTCCTCTGCGGAACTGGTTCGGACATTATTATTATACCTGTTGGAGTATCAGGGAGCAGTTTAACCTCTTATACCGGTCGGAGGATTGAGAAACAGTTTAT